GAGATGTGCAGGAGGCAGGTGATCGATGTTTCTCTCTCATCGATGTTTCTAACTCTCTACCTCTCTCCCTTCCTCTCTGTAAAAAATCAATAGAATATATTTTTAAAAAAAGACACAAACTTTGAAAATTTTTGATGAAAATTATAAAAACTTAAAATGTATGTAAAATAGACTCACAAAGACTAGCTATTACTAAAGAGTTAGATCCTCATAGCACAAATATAAAGTAAGATCCAATTAGCCCCAATTCTCCATTCTATGAAGGAGCAAAAGAAAGCAACTTAAGAGTACAGGAATGATCCTAACATCTTTGAAGCCAGAAAAAGTCTGGATTGATCCTTGGCCTCTACCATTTGTGACCTTAGAAAAGGCATATTATACCTCCCTAAGACTCAATTTTCTCATTGATGATAACATCGATACTGAAATAGTATTTAAACTTCTTAGAAAAGAACTGCTCCACAAATTTTGACTTCCAGTGGTTTTATGAGATTAAATTCACAAGGGGCAAAATAAGCTTCACCCTTGTTTCTCCATAAACACAAAATAGATGATTTTCACTCTTGAGTGGCTCCAGGGAAGTATTAGTATTATTTTTCTGACAGAACTGGAATGATGGAAAATTAGCTTAGCCTACTAAGCACCTCAGTATTTTAAGTTGAAAAAGTAGTAAAAATACCTTGAAGGACAAAGATCTCTGAGTTGTTTGGAAATTATTCCAGCCTGAAAACATTCTTCTACAAATCTCTCAAGCACGGAGTATGAATATGGGACATCCAGATTAATGTCCGGAATTTCATTATAAATTCTCTCATAACCCTAAAACAATGAAATTGTATACAGAATTGTTAACCCATATAAAATACATAATGCCATACAATTCTTCACTGTCATCAAGCTATATTTAAGGCCAAATGTTTACATAATAAGACTAAAGTCAGGTCTGAACCTTGAAACAGGTACATTTGTTATAGGATGTTTTATTTAAATCTGTTCTCTCAAATGATCTTGAGGCAGACTCAGATATAGGACACATTTCTTTCTCATATACTTCTCTATATACAGGGATGGGCAAAAGTAGGTTTCCAGTTGTAGTACAAATAATACAATAATTAATAAATAGTACAACAATAAACTGTTTCCCACACAACTGTAAACCTACTTTTGCCCACCCCTGTACATTTACATTTTAAAAAAATAAAAGGCAAGTAAGAACGAACCTCACCAACACTTAAATAGCAAATGCATACAATTTTAAATAGGAATAAATTACTTCAAAGTATAATTTGCTAAATGTTTGTTTCTCCTTAAATATAAAATAGAAATTATACCTTAGAAATAGAATTCTTAAGGAAGAACACACAATCACATCTTTTAAAATGCAGGTTAAAAAAACCTATTGAAGTGTTACTTTCCAAAAAATGGCTGCAAGAGATTCAAACATAAGCACTGCTATTTAAAAACAAACAAACGAAAAGCTATAGACATACTACTGCTAAACATATCTAAAGGAAAATTTCATTAACAATTCATTATCTTTATTCAATCATATATTTAAGGTGTAAGCCTAAAAATTGTTCAAAAAAAAATGTTATACTTACTCTTTTCATTTGGTCTAGAGTAATCGTAGAAGATTTCCAAAGGGATTTTAACAAATCCAAAATCATCTTAAATGTACTTTCTCCAGTTGACTCCAAAACCATTACAATGGCCTTAAAATTGAATGAATACATGAAGGTATTTGTGGTCATTAATTCACGTAAGAAACTGCTGTTAAATGTATCAGATTCCTTTAATCTGTAACTATAATTCTTATAAAAGTTTAAAAACAATTTTCTCCATTAACATTAACTTGTTTTTTAATCCTCACCTGAGGATGTTTTTCATTGATTTTCAAAAAAACAAGATGTATATTATTAAAGAAGTATTATGTCACTGTAGTACAAAAAAGGAACACAATAGCCCTAGTTGGTGTGGCTCAGTTGGTTGGAGCATTGTCCCATGTTCACCAGAGGTCTCAGGTTCAATTATTGGTCAGGGCACATACCTAGGTTGCGGATTTGGTCCTTGGTCAGGGCATGTACAGGAAGCAACCGATCGATGTATCTCTCTCACATTGATGTTTCTCTTTCCCTTCTCTACAATCAATTTTTTAAAAAGGAACACAATAATTCTCTTTGGGATATCAAAATAATCTTACTTCATATACAAGCTCATGGTGAAAATGAGGTACTTCCAGTTCCTTAAGGCAATGTTCAGCTTCAGATATGTCTCCAGAGAGTAAGTACTCTTTCAGCAGCATATCAATCTATTAAATTAAAAAATTGAGATGTGTTAGAATTTCTGATTTTTTAAATAACTGTGCTTTGTCTAAAGGATTTACTTACCCTCATCTCAATATATTACATGATGAAATAGATTACAAATAGCTAAGAACATATAGACTTGACATGTCACAATCATTAAATTTTCATGCTTAAAAAGTAAATCTCCAATTTTAAATGGTTCATAATTATGAAGAAAATGAAGTGATTCCGTGTTTCTTAATAATCACTGAGAGTTATAAATAGACTTAAGATGTACACGGCCTGAGTTGTGACCATAATTCTTTAATACTCCCTGTAAAACAAGGGATCTTAAATACCACTAGAGGGCACTAACTGAAAGTCTCAAAATGAACTTTTGAAGTGGTACAAATTCTCCCTTTCATCAAGATGACCTTAATATTGTACTAGGAGCCAAAAAATGAAATATCAGGGCTTTACTAGACAGGGTAAAGATTTCCATATACTTTTCTCTACAACTGAGGATTTGAAAACCATTATCTAAAACGTTCATCAGTCATTCAGCTTCTAATAATATATATCTAAAGAGGCAAGTCTTGTCTTATTCAAATTTATACAGTAACATCTATGGCCCTAAAGAAAATGGGGAAAAGTTTTTGAACAAGAGAATGTCAATTAAAAATGTTTTTTCCTATACAATACGTGCTAAATTCACCTTTGCACCTAGAAGATGCTTGATGCTGGTTAACTGAATAAAGTAATTTCAGTGTCTCTACTTCATATTTCACACTTCTACAACATATTTCATAAAAGGTAAAATACAATTTGATTAACAGAATACATCCTGATAATTCCTATTATGCTTTAGAAAGTAAATATTTATATATGTCATTTGAATAACATTTTCACTCTATAATTAATAAATTTATTATTTAAATATTACTTAGTTTTTAAACTTTGTTATGTAACTGAAGGTTTACATCTTTTCCATTAGGTTTTATAAATTTTTGAGAATAATGAATTATGAATACATGTATACATTTCAAAAAGTCCTCTTTGTCCAACTCATCTTTCCATGTAAAAGTAAATGAACATCCAAATAATGTCAAATTGAAATACTGCTTGGTTTTATTTCAATTTTTATTTTAACCATTTTTTGTTGAGATAATTTACATACCATAAAATAGTTTGGGAGTTTCTCAAAATATTAATTTGTGGGGGAGTACAGAGAGTTCTCAACTTATGATGGGATTATGTTCCAATAAAGACATAAATTGAAAATACCAAATCGAAAATGCATTTATTACACATAACCTACCAAACATCATAGTTTAGCCTAGCCTATCTTAAACATGCTCAGAACAACTTACATTAGCCTAAATTAGGCAAAATCATGTCGCTTCCACTACCCAGCATCACAAGAAAGAATCATACTGCATATCGCTAGCCCAGGAAAAGATCAAAATTCAAAGTATAGTTTCTACTGAATGCATATAGCTTTCCCATTATCACAAAGTCAAAAAAATCATCAAGTCAAACCATCCCAAATTGGGGACCATCTGTATTACCATCTTCTCAATATTAAGTCTTCTAATACATAAACATGGGATAGCTTTCTATTTACTTTGGTCTTCTTTCATTTCAACAATGTTATGCAGTTTTCACTGTATAAGACACTTCTTTTGATATGTTTATTCCTATTTTCATCTTTTTTATGCTATTGAAAATATAATTGTTTTCTTAATTTCATTTTAGATCACAGTGTGCAGAAAACTGAACTTTTTATATTTATCTTACATACTGCAACGTTGCTGAATTCATTTATTAATAGTTTGGCTTTTTGCTTTTGTATTTTTGTGGATTCATTTGGTTTTCCTTATAAAGATCATGTCAGCTGGGACTAGAGAATTTACTTCCTTTACAATCTAGGTGCCTTTTATTTCATTTTCTTGCCAAACTGCCCTAGTATCTTGACTTTTTATACCTCAATTGCTCTAGTAACTTTTTAATTTTAAAAAAGATATTGCAATTATGATATTACATGATTACAAACACCAACCCATCTATCTTAAAACACATAAAAGCAAATTGGTCAAAGCTCTAACTACATTTTAACCCTTTGCGGTCCAACGTGGAGGCTGACTCAACAGACCAGGCACTAGGAGCAGGTCCAACGTCGAGGCTGAGGTCGACACCGCAAACCGGTTCAACATTCAATCCCATCAATTAATTTGGACCAGACTGTTTGAATTCCAAAAATAAAATTGGATCGCAAAGGGTTAAGGTCCTTAACACTCAAATAAGTATACATGTCACTAAGAAATTTATTTTCAAAATTATAGTCACATATAAAGATTATAATCTAAATTTAGAAGCACATGAAAATAAGATTAATTTTTTTGTCAGTTTCTTAACATAGAAACATACTGCCAGGGAAAAATTATCCAGAGACTAAATCTGGCATTTAATGTAGTAAATTAATTACATATTTTAAAGCATGAACAAAGGTAGTGAATCTCCTTACAAAAATTTACGACTCTAATCTAGTCTAATCTAATCTAGTGTTCATAATTCATAATTTATAATCTGAGACTATCCAGTTTCAAAATACTCACATAAAAAAAGAGATTTTTTGGATAACTACAAAATTGCGATAGTATTTGAAGAAATTTACCGATGTAAGAAAAAGATTTCATGCATTCTTTTAAGGTTCATACACAGCTTTCTTAATCATAAAAGCCCTTTTAACTTAACACAGTCTAATTTTTAAGTCAAGGAAACCATACAAATTTAGTAACAATTATATAATTATTGGACAACTTATAGCAAAATCATATGAAGCCAGATATACAAAGATTATTCAATTTTCCATTTGCAGCTATAATACTGAAGTTAATTTTTGTCCACAAAAATATCAGCTAGAGGACATAGTTTATTTTCCTAGAAGAATACATATAAATTAAGTTAAAGATAATAAACCAATAGTTACCTCTTTAACAAGGTGATTAACAGGCTTCTGCCCACCGCCAGAGCCCCACACACTATCTTTGCGCTTTCCACCTTTAGACATACTCAGGAGCACAGTAGCCTTGTCCAGAGCAGCTCTACAAAAAAAATTAATTTTGACATTTGGACATGCTTCAGCTGGACCAAATCATGGATAAAGTTGGGGGGGAAAAATAGAATTCAAGCCTTCCTTCCCACCAGAGCAACCATTCCACTATGACCTGAAGTAGTCCTCGAAAATTAACATCTACACCTAAGAAAACCTAAGACATGGCTAAATCCAAATCTAAGTTTCCACATAGTTTTTAAAAATCATATAGCCTAACTCCCAAATATCACATTTAGCTTATAATTATACCAAAGAACGAGAGTGGAAAACATTATTTCTTAAGATTTCTATGACAGATAAAAATATAAAAAAAATTGAAATAGGACTCCTTTGTTAATATTGTCCATCTTATCAGTATCTACACTAATAAAAGAGAAACATGGTAATTCTTTGTTAATATTGCCCATCTTATCAGTATCCTATATAATAAAGAGCTAATATGCTAATTAAACCGGACAGCAGAACGACCTTCCAGAAGGACCAGTAGGTGTGGGGCAGGGCCACAAGGCAGCTGGGGCCGCTGCTAGGGCCAAGCCCCTTGCATGAATTTCGTGCATTGGGCCTCTAGTATTAAATAATTACAGAATGTTTAAACCTAAAGAGACCTTAAAGAAAACTCTAAGTTCAATCCTTACATTTTATAAATAAGGAAATTGAGGTCCAGAGAAGAGTGGCTTGACATGAAGATAGCTAATGGTTTAAAACCCAGAACTTCTGCCTAGCTTGTGTGGTTCAGTGGTTGAGCATTGACCCATGAACCAGGAGGTCATGGTTTGATTCCTGGTCAGGGCACATGCCCGGGTTTCAGGCTTAATTCCCAAAAGGGGGCATGCATGAGGCAGCTGATCAATGATTCTCTCTTATCATAGATGTTTCTATCCCTCTCTCCCTCTTCCTCCCTCTCTGAAATATTTTTTTTAAATAAATAAAACCCAGAACTTCTGCATTAGAGTAATGTCCTCTTCCTATTATATTAGACCAACCATCTCTCAATTTTGTTTTAACAGTAGAGAATACAAACAAATGACAAACAGATGTCTATAATGTCTGATTAATTCATCTGTCATTTCAATAGAATCCTGTGGAATTTTAAACTCATTTGAAATTCTAAGTAGGAAAATTAATTTACTTACCTAGCCTGTACACAATCTACAGTTCCTCTGTAACTATCAATATAGGTATTACATAAAATTCCATCTCCAACAGCTCTTGCAATAAATTGGCCCACCAACTATAATAAGGGGGGAAAAAACTGTATTAAAAAATCTAAAATAAACCTTTACAATTTCTAAATACATAAATGATGAAGACTGGTTGAACTACACAGTCGATACCAACAATCCTAAATTGTAGGTATTTTTTAGAATGTTAAAAAAAACAACACTTTTATTCAGCACCTAACTAGTTATGCTTGGCACACACTCCCACAACTTAACCTTCAGGTTAAATGACATGGGGGGGGAGGGGAAGAGCACATCTGTTTTGCTTACTACTGACTCCCCAACACCTTACCTTGCATAATGCCTGAAACAGAGTATATGATTAAAAATACTTGTTAAGTCAATGACTTAAAATCAAGAGAAACCTTGATTTAGCTTATAATTATACCAAAGAACAAGAGTGGAAAACATTACTCAGCCAGGGCTGAGTACTGATATTTTAAAACGTTCATGTTTGAATCACAGCATTTAGGAATTAACCTACCTATACTCTATTCCCAAATTAATGTTTAAATGCTCCTACCTTAAAACTTTGGTCAAGGAACCAGAAAAGAATTTCACACACTTTTTATTTCAAACCAGAAAGTCATGTTATAATGTCAGCATGTATTAAGTCTAATTTAAGTATAAGACTTTGAGCCCTAGCTGGTTTGGCTCAATGGATAGAGCATCGGCCTGCAGACTGAAGAGTCCCAGGTTCTATTGCGGTCAAAGGCATATGCATGGGTTGCAGGCTCGATCCCCAGTAGGGGGCGTGCAGGAGGCAACCATCAATGATTCTCTCTCACTATTGATTTTTCTATCTCCCCTCTCCCTTCTTCTCTGAAAGCAATATAAATACATTTTAAAAAGTATAAGGCTTTGAGAAAAGAAACCTAAACAGAAGCATAAACCATGAATTTTCTATTACCCACAATGCTACAAAAGGGAACAGTCTTCCTTATGATTATTTTATAATAAACATCAGTTAAGCAAATTCAATACTCAAAATAATCTACATCTTTTAAAAATCCCAGCTCATAAAACATCTTAACTACGTATAATAAAGAGTTTACAGATAAGAAAACAAAAGTATGACCTAAAAACTATACAGAGCACTACATGGAAAGTAAGATATAAAATTATAGTATGATGAAATGGGAGGGGGGAGGAATAGCTCAGAGAAAATACACTAAAATGTTAAAGGGCTATTTTTGTGTGATAGGAAATATGGGCCATATTTTCCTTTTTCATCTAATACAATTTCCTAGCAGTATACATTATTTCTATACCTGGAAGGGTAGTGGAGGAAGAGAATAAGCAAGCAAAATAATACAAACCTGTGGTGCTCTAGGAGTATCCAACGCTAATTCAGGTAGATCTTTCAACAATTTATCAAATGATTTTTCTACATCATTTGTGCTCATTACTGTTCCACAAAGGTCAGAAAGAAGCTTAGATGTCATTTCTCTATGACTAGCCTTTCCCTCCAATGCCAAGGATACTGCCAACACTGGTACTCCACTTTTCATTTCACCAAGATTTAAATCTCTTAGCATTTCCTATTTAAAAAAAAAAGTATTTTAATTTTGAAAAAATCAAGATTTTATATATCCTTACCTCTTCCTATGTGGAAATAATCAGAGAGGCAGTCAAATTTTGAGGGATAGAATAAATATATCTTACTCTGCATATAAATTACATATTGACCCACTTTGTCAAGCTTTAACTGTTTGAACATCAATGAACTCAAGAATGTGAATTACAGGCCTGGCCAGGTAGTTCAGTAGTTTAGAGCTTCATTCTGATAACACCAGGGTTTCAGGTTCTATTCTGGGTCAGGGCACATCCCAGAACCAACAAATGAGTGCATAAGTGGAACAACAAATTGCTGTTTTCTCTCTCTCCCTTTTTCTCTCTCTCTAAAAATCAATAAAAAAAATGTGAATTAAATCTAAAATAGTTTATTAATCCACATAATACTACTAAGTTTGGCGTTGGAGTTAACTAATCCTCTCCCTTATAATACATTAACATTATTTCTAGGAATATTGCTTTATAAGCATTTATGGAGAAATTCATTCCACATTATCATAATAAACTGTTTATACTCTGATTTTCTTCAAAGCTTTCTCTTTGCACAAAAATTTACTTTATACTGTCATATAAAGTTTAAAATGAGATCTTAAAAGATTGTTTTTAAGTGGGATTATTGTTTTAAATGTTGGAATAAACTTAAAATTGTATTTTATAAACTATCAATTTAAAAAATATTTTGTAATTATAAAAACTATAAAAATATCGTGTTGTGTCATTTTTCAGGGAAGGAAATGGCACATAGCCCTCATCAGATCCAAAATAGGTAAGAATTAATCTAAATTCATGAAATTTTACTCCATTTCTTAGTTAAAAATTCATTTATACAAAAGAAAATTCTTACACTTATTCAGTGATCCAAGATCATTCTAGTTATGTTTTGCTTTTAATAGTGTTTTCTCTCCTAAATGAAATAAATTGCAATTGCAACTTTAAGCCTACCGCAACTTCATTAGTATCTCCATGCTCAAAATATTCCTGTATGATTGGTGTTAAAGTCTTCTCAAATGCTGTTTCATCCAAAGGCAAAACTACAGTTTCATAAACACAGTTCTCCTGGTAAGGGAAAGGGGAGAAAGAGTTATAAATTAAAGAACAAAATATTCAGATAAACTGAAATTGTTTGATAATTTTATATTTCAACTGGTTAGTAATCCCAATTCTGGGAGAGAAGGCATGCTATATGCTTTGATCACTTATATAAAAATTTAATCTGTTCTTTTACAAAATCTAAATATAATAACCAAGACACAGATTAGAACCACTAACCACAGCAAATATGATGTGCTTCCAACCTCTCCCCCCCGCCATTATCTTCTGTTAATTCTTTATATCTCACAAAACCAATCCTTTGGTGACCAAATTTTTTTAAGATGACTTCCTACCTTATCTAGCATTTTCATTATAACTTCACTTTTTAAAAAAAATAAAGCAGGAACCAAAGCCTTCATGATTAGTATTACCACAATAATGCTCCTAATAACAAAAATCTATGTTGTAGTGACAAAAAATTTTCTATGGGAAAAGCACTATTAAACTGAAATTTCACAAAGAAGTAACCCCCTTCTGCTATGCAAAAATCCCTGAAATGTTTATATGTAACTTGTGACTGGCTTCCACCTAACAACATAAATTTGAAAGATTATATATCAAACCTAGAATATTTAGCAAAGTTTCTATAGTATTTGAGTCCTACTGGTTTTAAAATATATTTTTTCATGTTCTCTTAGAAATATTTCTGCATCCAACTGTTAGTTAAAATAGTTAAGTACATACTAGTAAACAATATACAACAAAAACAATCTAACATATACCCTGATAAATTCCTGTCTAAAATTTTTATTACATCTTATCTTATACATCTTATCTTCATCCAGAGCTGTAGGAGGGTGGGGAGGAGGAACAGACACAGCAGGAAGAGTAAATGGAGGTACATGATAAAAAAAGATTGGCCCATGAGTTATTAACTATTAAAGTTGGTAAAGCTAGGAGATGAGTACAAGTAGGTTCATTATACTATTCTATATGGGATAAGTTAGAAATTTTCCAGTAAAAGGATAAATATATGTAAATTCATTAGAAAATCTATGAAAATTTTATATTCTCAGCACTATCTCTAGAAAAAAGATCCATGTTTCAAAATTACCAAACACAACATCTTAAACAGCAATATATAAAAGCCGTTTAATATTTGTCTTTACTAATATTCAAAAATTATATATTCTTCTCAATTCTCATTACTATAGAAACTAAATTAACTCAAAAGAACTTACTGAAAAACAATTTGATAATCTTAAGTAAATTTGTGAAGATCTATTTTTGATTCACTTCAGAAACCAAAAGAAAATTATGTATACAGTAGAAGCCCGGTGCACGAATTCATGCACGAGTGGGGTCCCTCGGCCTAGCCAGCGACTAGGGCCAATCAGGGCTGGCCAGCAGGGGGAGGGATTGCAGGAGGTTGGCCGGCTGTGGGAGGTTGGCTATGGGAGAGCACTGACCACCAGGGGGCAGCTCCTGCATTGAGCGTCTGCCCCCTGGTGGTCAGTGTAACATAGCGATCGGTTGACCAGTCGTTCGGTCACCTGGCTTTTATATATATAGATTACTATCAGTTATCTTGTTATAGCGATCGGTTGACCAGTCGTACGGTCAACTGGTTGTACCGGTCCCTTAGGCTTTTATATATATAGATTACTATCAGTTATCTTGTTTTTTTCTAATCCAAAATTAACCTAACAATCTGAAGGTACTGAGTAAATAAATGACTTCCATGCATATATTAATGTGTGTGCCTATATACATATATAGTCATAAATTACATACACATTAGTATATATAATCATATACATATGACTTGACAGTTATAGATTATAAACACAGACATAGAACATATGACTTGACAACATATGAGTAAACAACGAACATGAGATCAAAAAAGTGTGTAAGTATTAAAACATATGTTAAAAAAGCAAAAACACAGATACCTGGTCATCGTCATAGTTAGGATCTTTCACATCCACTTCCTCCACATCATATACCTGCCCGGGTGTACCCCAAACACCTTTGCCTCCTGCACCACCTGGAAAGTTTTGAATTGAAAAAGCAAAGAGAAATTTGAAAGAACTCTACACGTTCAGATGTTAATTAAAAATAACAGCTGCCCGGCCGGTGTGCTCAGTGGCTGAGCACTGACACATGCACCAAGAGGTCGTTAGTTCAATTCCCAGTCAGGGCATATATAGGGGTTGGGAATCGATCCTCAGTATGGGGCATGCAGGAGGCAACTGATTGATGTTTCTATCTCTCTCTTTCCCTACTCCCTTCCTCTCTCTTAAAAAAAAATCAATAAAACATATTTTAAAATAAGTAACAGCTAAAAAAACTGTATTTTATTTTTTCCAGTTGAGACTTATACTTTAAACCTCTTTTTATTCTGATCACTGCTTTTTCAGTAAAGATTAGATATTTTATAATCTACTTAGGAACATCAAGTTGAAATAGTTTATAAAGTTAAAACTGAAAAGGCAGCTGCTTTAAAATAAAAGCCAAACAAAAAGATCACA